TTGTAGTGGTCGGGAAACACGTGCGAGGGACTTCTCCGGCGTGTCATGTCATTTCTGCGTGATCTGGAGGGTAATATCGCCTGTTTGTGTTGCTAAATGACCTGTGATATATCGAGCCTCGTGGCGGAGAGGCTGGAGGAGAGAGGGTGTGGAGAAACGAGGCCGAACTTGGGTGTTTAATGCGAAGGAGCCATCCAAGTTTCCTTCACGACACAACATGTCCCGTTTAATTCGGAGTTTGGGGGAATATATATTTTTTTTTCTCATTTTATTGTGTCTTTTTCGAGCGATAGGTTTGAGTGTGACTCGTTTGCTTGTATTGGTGAGGTGGATAATGGCTGTCTTGAGGTGTAAGAAGTCGTTTAATACCATCGGATTTTAAAATGAGAAAAAGTTACGGAATTTTTGTTTATTTTACTATGGTTAAATACGTCTTTTTTTAATGTTTTACAGCAACCTGAGTTAACGTTATGAGAAGCCATTACACTGTCTTTAAGAATATTAACAAGGCCATTGTATATGAGTTTAACATACTTCTTAAGTGTTAACTTGTATACGAAAATTGCTTATAAATGAAGACTTTTTTTAAAAACCAAGTTCAGTGAAGTGCTATCTCCAAACATGAAAAATCGCCTCAGATTTTCAATATCATTTTGTTTTTGAATGTGATGTCCAGCATAATTCTGTATTGTAGTGTACTGTGTTTTTCATGTAGAGCAGTTTAATTCAATAGCCTGTGCTTTGTTTTGCAGTTTGTTGATACCTTTCATAATAGAGAAAACACTTGAAAAATACAGAACTACAGCAATTGTAGATTTAATTTTTGTAAATTGCTTCTCCCTTTTGTAGGTGAATGCGAATGTCAAATAAGAACCAATACAATGTAATAGAAACATGAATGGAATAGTCAACATTATAAGGAATGAATCAAAGACTAGTTTAAGTATTGGTAACTGTACTAAGTAACCGATACAAAAACTGAAGTAAAAACTCTTATGTCTCGGTAAACTATACCAAGTCAGCCATGCTTGCTTTCCAGGTGTGACCTTTTTCTTGTAGATATTGAGTGTGTTCTATCACAGTCCATTTTGAATTTGTTACCATGTGATGGAAAACCTTCAGTCTTAAGTCCAGTTTCCTAGAGATGCAATTTCAAGTGATCGCTGCAGCCTGTTGACTCTCAGGCAAAAGCCAACAAACCCTTCAGCCTCGATATCTTAGTAAGATAGGGGTGGGATTAGTTCTTTAGTTGATGATAAATTGTGAGGGAGGTCTGCCAAGTCATTGTTTCCTAAGCATTTTTTTTTTATTATATAGGTTTGTTAGTCTTTGCCAAAGAGCTCAGACATGGAACTACTCACTTGCATACGTGTGTCTATACTTCCTACTTCCTTTTGCAAAGTTTATTTGACATAGAAAAAAAATAGAAGAGAAACATAATGGAAGTACTAGTGAAAATAATATAATAGTGAGTTAAGTATGGAACTGTCCCACAAAAAGCATGGAACCAGCTTGAGTTTTTAATTACTTGAGCACCTCTGGTTGAGAATGCAAGGTATGCAAATTCTAAGTGTAAAGATGTAATAGTGTACTTTAGATTAAGTTTAGAGAACTATGATACTTAGAAAGCTGCTTGAAATTAAAGATAAGAAGGCAAGCATTATGTATTAACCTCGACACTTTTTGTTAAGTAGGAAATATGGTGAAAAATGATTTTTCTCAAATCACTATTCTTCATGTAATACATCTGCAGTCATCAGAGTGAACCAATTTGAATATTCAGATTGATTAGATTGGAAAAAACTGATTGCCAGACATAGTTTGTTAGAAAGATTAGCAGGAAAGACATAGACGAATACCTAATTTTTCAGTGCTTAGCAATGATCAGTTGTTATTGCAACTTGAAAATGAATGTCAGGCTATTATGCATATTATTAGAAAGTATGGCGAACATGACATTTATTGAAAATGTTAAATAGTATTTCGTTTTTGCCATGACAACCTAGACTGCTTTGGAGTTAAAGAATAGAAAGCACTGTTTTCTTAGCTCTGTGTGTGTGTTTGTGTTTGATTGTGTGTGTGTGTGTGTGTTTGATAGTGTGTGTGTGTGTGTTTGATTGTGTGTGTGTGTTTGATTGTGTGTGTGTTTGATAGTGTGTGTGTTTGTGTTTGATTGTGTGTGTGTGTGTGTGTTTGATTGTGTGTGTGTGTGTGTTTGATTGTGTGTGTGTGTTTGATTGTGTGTGTGTGTGTGTGTGTTTGATTGTGTGTGTGTGTGTTTGATTGTGTGTGTGTGTGTTTGATTGTGTGTGTGTGTGTGTGTGTGTGTGTGTGTGTGTGTGTGTGTGTGTGTGTGTGTGTGTGTGTTTGTGTTTGTGTTTGATAATGTGTGTGTGTGTTTGATTGTGTGTGTGTGTGTGTTTGATTGTGTGTGTGTGTTTGATTGTGTGTGTGTTTGATTGTGTGTGTGTGTTTGATTGTGTGTGTGTGTTTGATTGTG